CCCCCTTCAGAACCCTCTTTAAAACTCTCTTCTGATATGATGCCTGCAGAACTTGACAATGGCCAGGCCACTGGTGTGTTGAGATCACTGCCTATTGTGCTGACAGACAGTGTCTCAGTTTTCTTGTACTCCCCCATCTATCTGTACCCACCTGTTGTCTCTTGTCATGTAGTTAGCTGTAAGCTCTCTGAGGCAGGGACTGTCTTTTCGTCTTGTGTTTGTTCAGTGCCTAGCCCAAGGAGGTCCTGGTCCAGGATTAGGGCTCCTAGGCACTAGAATATTAATTATTATTATTATTTATTTCTATTATTGTAGCAGCTCAGGACCCCAATCTGCTAGGAGCTGTACAAACACAGAGTAAAAAGACATTCCCTGCCCCAAAGAGCTTACAATCTATAAATAAGGAAAAAATAATATAATAATAAAAACAACAACTAACCTTTGAGTGTTCAGAGAAATCCTTGAGCATGCCAGGGCCTCTGAAAATATTGTTCCAGCATCTAGCTTCCAAATCGTATCCCGTATTGCCCGCTTGAAGCACTCGACAGGTTGGATGTGACCAAACACATGCACTGGAAACATGACAAGTGCTCAGCTCGCACTAGAGCCCCCCACTGGTGCCCAAACACCTTATTGTGCCCACCCAAGATTTGCAAATGTTGACCCTAATCATTCCATATTTCAGCTCTCCCCCTGTATAACAGAAATACTTCCCTACCTTGCATGGTGTTGTGTGTGTGATGCTTTTGAGGTGCTTGGCTACCATGGCTAGAGCTGACTGGAGGATGATAATTCCATTGACCAGCAACTTCCCAGGTTTCAAAATTGGATTTTGTTCCACAGTGCAATGAAGACAAAAATCTTTCACAAAAATTGAGTTAGGTTGCGCATGTGTGTCCAGCCACGAGGGTAGGGCTCTGGCCTGGAATGTGGGAGCCCAGATTCAAGACCCTGCTCAGCCTGATCTGGGATGACAACAGGACTTGAACCTGCAGCTCTGATATCCCAACCCAGTGCCCTACCCACCATGCTTTAGAGAGAGCCATTTTTGTGTGCACACAAGAACTTTGTCGAAATCCATACGTCTCAGTGAAACATTTCAGCTTCAATAAAACAGCATATTTCACCGAAAAGAAATTTCAGTGGAAATATTCCAAGCACCTCTTACCATGGTGATGAATGCTATGGAAAAGCCTATAAATAAAAAGTCTTGAAATATCTATTTTAAACAATCCACATTTTGTCCAATTTCAACATACATTTCTCCGAGTAAACATACTGGGCTGGATTCTGATTTCTTCAATAGAGATACACTGATTTACACCAGCTGTTCATTACGTTGCACTTCTTATATTTTCAGAGTAGCTGAGAAGGTTTTGCAATTCTAAAGCAACATAGAGGTTTTATTAGTTTCCTGGAAGTTTCAGCAGTGTTTTTTCTCTCTCTCTTTCTTCCTCTCTCAAGAACAATCAGAATGATGGAAAATATACAATGTAGCTATGACTACACCTGTTTATCCTTTGGTCTAATTTTTCTTACGCATTTGTTTATAGCTTTCTGGAAGTAGGAATTCTGCTTTGAACTAAAATCCTTAAAACAGAAATTATAATCATCTCTCACCTAATGCATCACAGAAGAAGAAAAAGAATTTATTATCCTTCAAATATACTTTCACAAAGAATTATCCCAGCAGATGGATTCAGTCTATATGGGGTAGGTAAGAGTAAAATCTGACCCACAGATTTTTGAGCTACTATAAAATAGGCACTTATGTTGGTACCTTTACTAATAAGTGATTGGATTTATATAAATTTAAGTTCCTCTACTTCTTGATGAAGTAGACTTAGGTAAGTGAGGGTTAAAACTATTTTGTGGCTGAAAAGAAGGCTTATTTCTTTAGACAAACCTATATGTATATTACACATTAAGAAATGTTATCCTCTTTCTGATTTTCTATCCTATCTCTATATATTAGCTGCTAATTTTTGAATTTATCAGTTAGTAAGCGGAGATGGTTTTAGTCTTTGCAGAATTGGTCAAGGATAATAATACCCAGCCTCTTGACAAAAGAATCTCTCAGCTCTTAATCTTCTAGTTCAGTTCTAATTATTGAATCATTAAAACAAGAGACTTTCTTTTGCTTAGTCGATACTTTCATAGTAGTTGGATTACCAAAATTGCCAGTGGGGTTGTTATGGGTTCTACACATGCACTGTCCTAGGTTTAGAATGGAGTTTTCTAAAGTAATAGCATTTTCGCTTCATTCTGGAAGCAATCTACACATCAGCTGTTTTAAGAACACTCATAGCTGGCATTAGCATTTTTGGGTGGGCCTGGGAAACTTTTGCCATCTACTGTGTTCACAATTTGAGCACATCATCTCTTTGCAAAACACCTACAGAATAACGAGATGTCCCAGAGAATTATTCAGACAGAGAAAAATCTATTCAAGAAAGCTTAAATACCTATCAACCTACATTTGTAAGTGGCCTCCACATTACCACAGCAACAGAACACCTGAAATTAAAGATCTTTATCTAGTTTTGCTGGAACTTAGAAATACGCCACAGAAGGATTAACTACAAATGGTAATAGGCAGATGAACAGGGACTTCACATCTAATAAGACTTGAGTTACACAAACCTAAGGAAGACTATTAGACTTACAGATGCAATTGGAGAAAAAGCGAAAGAAACACACAATATTATTGTTTGTTTAGTGATAGCATCTAGAGGCACTAATCAGGGATCAGGGCACCATTACACAGACATATATAACAAAGTAAAGTCCCTACGCCAGAGAGTTTACAGTCCGTATTAGAGAGAGACAACGCAGGTGAGGTAATATCTTTTCTTCGACCAACTTCTGTTGGTGAGAGAGACAAGCTTTCCAGCTTACACAGAGATCTTCTTCAGGTCTGTATGACAGATATACTAATCCACTGGTCAAAGTGACAGTAGCAACCCGTCCATCTGCGAACAGACATTCATAGCTGGAAGCTAACAAATGTTGTTACCCCCACAGCAGAGTTTTGTTCATATATTGTGGAAGCAGTCCGTGGTAGCACAGAAATCAATGAGATTTACTGGAAATGCCTGGGATGTCCCAGACACTTGTTGACATAGGATTAAAAGATGGAAACTTGATTCCTCAAAGAACAGATCATGGAATGAGATCATCTATACCAATGCCTACAGAAGTATCAGAGGTATCATGTTAGCATCACAAAAGTCACCCCATGCATGATCATTACAGATACACTCATTGCCAAAGTTGCTAAATCCAAGCAGCACGTGGATGAAGCTAGAACGTCATCATTCTGGAGTGAGTCAGGCTGCAATAAGCAACAATTGACTAATCAGATGACTTTGGAAAGTCATTTCAGGATTTGTTGACCAGGTGTGAGTTATGTTATTTCAAAATTAAGAGTGTTCTCTTCCTCATAGGGAGGAATTAAATGGGCAGAGCCTTTCTGCTCCCTTTGTACCACTCAGGCAAAGCAAAAGGGAGCAGAAACTGGTCTTATGTTTCCACCTAGTGATTCCTCCTGACATGGGGGAGACTTCAGAGAGTACAGAACCAGCTTAGCCAGCTCCAATGCCATTCTTATGCACACAGCCACAGCGTAGGGCATCTGGAGAAGAAATGAACAGCTTGGGATGAGATGTGGCCAGAGTGTCCCCGGCTGGTGACCATTAGCAGCTGGAAGAGTTTAGAGCTGCTTTAAACTCCATCAACAGCTGCAACTGGCATGAAACAGCCAAAGAGTTAAAAGAAAAGGAGTACTTGTGGCACCTTAGAGACTAACCAATTTATTTGAGCATAAGCTTTCGTGAGCATGAGCTGTAGCTCACGAAAGCTTATGCTCAAATAAATTGGTTAGTCTCTAAGGTGCCACAAGTACTCCTTTTCTTTTTGCGAATACAGGCTAACACAGCTGTTACTCTGAAACCAAAGAGTTAAGGAACTGTAACTATTTCCCAAACACCTGTGGCAGAGTGCTGAGAGCCAGAAACTGACCCAGCACTCTGCTCACTGCTCTGCTCTGTTCTGCTCCCTGTAAGACCAGCTAGTTTCCATGGCGAAAGGCCTGATTGAGGGATGCTGGGGCTAATTACTAGATCAGTCTGAACTGGAGAGAGCTAAGGAGCTCATTAATCCTTTAACTGGAAGAGTAGAAAGGCCCACCAGAAAAAAGTGCAAGGTGGGAGATGAGAGAGAGAGAGAGAGAGAGAAAGGCCAGCAGGCTCAGAGTAAAGGGAGATCTCTGCTCAGAGAGATCTCTTCCCTCTCCCCTCTCTGCTCTCTGGTGAAAGGGGATGATATTTGTATGTTACTGTAAAGAGAGTTCTGCCCAGGTCTGCAAAGGGGTGATGAATGAGATACCACAAACAACCTACATGCTGGGGTTTACAAACCAGAGGTGTTGAAGTCATTTGTACAAGAAAACGAGAGAAGATGTCACAATGCCCCACCCCTGCTGCACCAGCCCAAGTAGCTAAAAGAGGGCATGTAAAGAGAAGTAACAAGTTAACAGTATGGGAGTGACTACACAAATAAATGGCGCCATGATATTGTGGGAGTGACTATGCCAGCACCTGTATTAGACCACTGACTAAATACTTCCAGATGTCTGACCAAAGCCAACATTTTGGTTCTAAATTCTGCTGAGGGCTGTTTATTTTTTTATTTACTTGTTTCCCTTTGAATTTAGAAAACAAAAATCATGAAAACATTCATGTTGGCCTTAGCCTCACTAAAAGCTTATTTTTACAAAACCCATAATTTGAGTCTAATTTGCCCTGACAGAGTCAACTGACCATGCAGTTACTTGGCACCTGCTGAATGCTTCCCCATTAAGCAAAATTTACGCTAATAAGCAGCGGTCATTACCACTTGCTAACATTAGATTAAATCAGTTACCTGAAACACCTTCTGATAAAGCATAAATCCAGATAAGGCAAATGCCAGGCAAGAGCTAAATTCTAAAATCTTACTCAGTCTCATTGATGAGCTAGATTGTGCCTTCCAGGACCTCCTTCAGTCAATGGTGGTGCGCAAGTTGCACCATCCCAGGAAGCACTGCAGCTGCAGAGTTGGATCAAAAACATTTGTATCAAAGAGGGGAGTGAGACGTTACTTTAACTTGAGGAAAAACAAATAAAATATAAACTAGCTAAATTGACTTGGACCAAGAGGCTTTAACCTGAAGATGAGCAGTAGCACTCTCGAGTAAGATACCACGACAGGTGAATAATGAATCAAGAAAGACACTCAGAAGTAAATTTTTAAGGTGCAGGCCTGTATGCCAAAGATGCATGTGCACTTATCTACCCATATTTGTGTAGGCAATAACCCACAATTCCAACAACTAATCAAGTATTTGCATAAGGAAATGAGGAGCTAGGCATCTGCACATCAACCTAGTTAGCACACAGAAGTATAGCAATGGTACACACAAAAACAGGTGCACATTTGCATGCGTATGTTTTGTGCCTTTTAAAACTACGATCCTTAAATTTTCCTGCATTTGCTAAAATAAACCTGATGACCTCATTGTATTATAGCAATACCTTTAAGAGTCATGATAATGAAAATCTGTCACTTTCCATCTATGGTGGATCTATTTTAGGCTGTCATGAAGTGTCCATTAAAAGTGTCCTTTTCTCTGACAGGTTGTGTACCTAGGGTTAAATTCGTTGTACACAGATGTTTATTTTTAGAGATTGTCTATACTGTTTGTTATTGAATGCTTAACTTTCACTGAGGATCAGAAAAGTCCATCACTAAAGAAACTCCATATACATTAACAACTCTGCCATGATCTCTTATTTAAAGGAAAAATATATCTAATGAAAATATAATTCTGAGAGTATTTCTATTGTGAAAGAAAACAGATAAATCTATTTCTATTTAAGCCTAAACTATATTAAATAAAGTTTACTTTTCTGAATATTCTGAATGACAAATATGTAAAGAACAACACATCAGAGAATGTTCATTGTCTATAATGGTGATGATAATGATTTTACATTCTCAGACAAAAAGCTTTGTGAGGTAGACTTAACATTGTACAAATATAGCAATTAAACTAAAATAACGTGGTTATAAAATACAAATATTGGCATACATTTATTTAGTATTGAATTAGAATAAAAAAAGGAAGGTCAAGAAGTTCATCCTTAATGTTTCACAAACAACCATAATCCTTACCCTGCATCCCTATACACCACTACCTAGCTTATAGGGTACTGAGGTCAGAGCTGGACTTTGCAAGTCTATGGTGTATTCCAATCAATATAGCTTTTAGTGAGTGGATGAGGTTGACTGGGCTCTTTGACTCACAGCAGAATAGTGGTGTGTATCAGCCTTAACCTGAAGTCTGAGAAATCATCAAAGATTTCTCTTATGCAAAACAAAACAAAACCTTCAATATCAAGAGGCCTTGATATTGGCATTAAATATTAACAAAACACACGCACAATCCAATTCTGAGTGATCAGAATTCTGTCTCAGAAGTCACTGTGCATTTCAGGGTTGGCTACTCAATTCAAAGAGTAAACAAAAATAACCTACACTTTGCATAGACTTGATTTCCAGGGACCGCTGCCTCTCTCTCTCTCGAGGCACATATATCATGTGCATCACCATGGAATCCAAGCTAGTAGACTCCCTGAGCTCTTGAGGGAAATACAGAGCCATTCCCCTGACATTTCCTTCCTCATAATGGCTGCCCAGTCTTTATGAGCAGTGTCATTAGCAATGAAGTGCAGCTGTCATTTGTGGATCAAGCTCCAGTGGGACCCAACTATCCTATGTTTACTCCCAGAGAGAGAAATTCTCCAGCATCCTAGCTTACTCTGGACCTTTACCATTCCATTATTTACTATTACTTCCTTTTATTAGGGAACATAGATTGGGAATGGATTGTGATTATGAGGGCCCTTTTTAGAGTTCCAAAGGACTTCTACAAACCATCAGAGCTGAATATGGAAGGATAAGAGAGGAGATGTTCGTATTGATCGGTTAGTGGGGTAGTTGAAGTGGAAAAGGATGTGACTTCAGATCTGGGGTCCTTATGTGATGTGATGTGAGAGGAGAGGGAGAATTGGTTTCTGCAGTCTGACTGATGTTATTTCCAGTAGGAACTGTAGTCAAAATCTCATGACCCCAGTATTGCGGCAATCCCAGTAGCTCAGATTCTTTATACTTTTACAGGATCTCAAAGTGCTTTGAAATATTAATAAATTAAGACTCACAACTCCCCTGTGTGATCAGTATTATTATTGTCCATTTTAGAGGTGAAGAAATTAAGGTACTAAGTAACCTGCCCAAGGTCAGGTAAGAAGTCAGTGCCAGAGCTCAGAATAGAACCCAGCTGCCCTGGCTTTCACTCCAGTGTTTTAATTACAATTCCATCAATACGCTACTTGGCCCTGGTCCTGAGAGGTTTTAAGGACCCATAACATCCATTGAAGGCCACACCCCACTGTGGAGTTCTCAGGCTGGCTGAGGCTCTGACAGTGGGATGCTGAACTGTCTGAGCTGCATCTGTCCAAGTCGACTAAACTTTAATTTCCATGGAGGGGTATTTGTAGTGCCATTAGATTTGGTGTCTTGATAGTTGCAGCCGGTTTTCCACCACCCTTATGAAGAGCACAGTTAGCTCTTTACATCCTAATAGCATGCAAGTAGGTTTTCAAACATGGTGTTTAGCCCATGGGGATTGGGCATCCTGGTGTAAATGACATTTGGTCTGGTGAGTCATAAGCAGTGATTATATCTTGGAAAAGTTCCCACAGTTCTTAGAAAGTATCAAGGTTGCCTCAGAAATAAAGAGTGATCTTTTCCATTATCAGACTAAATAGGATATTTGGTGCGCTCATTTACATGTGATAGAATCGCTTGGGTAGCAACAACATCTAGAAGTAGATCTAATCCTTCTCCCAATAACCGTGACTCTCCTGCTCACAGCGAGTTTGTAGCCCCGCAGCTGTGTGACTTTTGAGAACCAACTGAAAAATGTGGGCATGTTGGTGGGGGGCCTGAATTCTTTTCTGCATTCTTTGCTTTTTTCAAACTAAAATGCCTGAAATTACTTAAGAGAAAATGAATTGTTCACAAGAGTTCCTACTGAAGTGGGGAGGGGGAATTGTCAGAGCTGTTTAAAAAAAAAAAAAAAAAAAAAAAAAAAAGACCTTCGCTTTAATGGACAACAAAGAAATCAGTTATTTTTAAATGTTGCCTTTTGTGCAGTTTCTGGTTTTCCCCTCAAGCTGTGTCAAGTGGCATAATAAAGTTGCTGCAGACATGAGAGGTTGCAGTGCTTTCCCCCAGCTTTTCTTCTCTTTTCTATAGCAGCCCCGCTGCTGTTAGTAATGCTCATTTTGTAGCAAAGCTTCTTTTGGTGGGAGGGGAGAGGGTGGGAGAGCTAGCGTAGAAGGAGAAAATTAAAATAACAATTGACTCATATTGTGAGGTACAACCTTCTGACACTGACTCAGCAGGCCTGTGTATTTTTCTCATGGGGGCAATTGGCCAAGTGACACATGCTGACCTGGTTGACTCAGTTAAAGCATTTGAAATGAAAAGTTACTACAGACTTAGAACCCTGTGGGGTCCTTAAATATGCAGCGTCTTCCTCAGAACTTGAGAAAAGGAAGAAATACGTAAAGAGGGTGGGTGGGTGTGTACAGGGAGAACTATAGAATGGACAGTAATGTTGCAAATCATTTACAATTTAATATGTTCAGAGGTTAGACCCGGGGAGTAAAAAGTGAAAGCACCATACTTAAACCGTACCCACAATCCGAGAGAGGAGGGTTCAGAGCTGCCAATTCTAGCACAGCTCCATGTGTGAAATTTCCCAGCGATAAGGAAAAGTCCTTAATTTCCCCCTTAGGATTTCCACCAAGCAGTGGCAGCAGGTGTGGGGATGCATACACCTATTCCCTACACACCTCAGCAACAAGGGGATTGCAGAAGTGAGCCAGGAGTAGATAGGGGCATTGGGGAAGCCAGTGGGAACAAAGGCATTAAAGTCAGGGGCTACGTAAGGGGGACATTGTATGAGAGACAACCTCCGGGAAGCTTGGGAGGATGTTCCTCGGGGCAGTGTGAGCTTAGGCCTGAGTGGGCAGCCCCCTCCAATCTGACCCCTAATTTCCCTTCCCTTTATTCTGTCTACCACTTCCTCCCCTCATCCTCCATCCAATCCCTGCATGAATCTGTGGGCAGCAGAGAGATGACTCTGCCTTTACTCAATCTTACTGCCTGAACCCAGGCATCATTGCTGCCCCCAGAGTCCTAGAGGAGCCACTGCAGCTGACTCCTACAATCTGTCTTGTTGCAGCTGGGGTGTGGATAGGCCTGAGGGGGCTGCCTGACATGACACGTGTTGGCAGCCTTGCTGGATAGGTCAGCTAAAATGAGTGAGTTAACATTCTGTTGAGGTGAATGGGAGCAGTTCACAACTACCAGAGCTATTAGGCCATATTTGGAGGTGCTGTGTAAGAGAAGAGGAGAGTGGAAGGGTTTGTCTACATGAACATTCAGTTGATAGCAAGATGGGATGTGAATCGACCCCACCCTTTGCGGCCACAGACTAACTCTCCACGTGAATCCTGCTGACACACATTAACAGTTTCTTAGTGTGCTTTGAGCTACTCCCCTTTGAAATGATCATTAACAAAACCTTAATGAGTGTTTGCTGGCTCCACCCAGACAGTTAATCCATGGCAGGGAGTAGAGTCACCTCCCAGCTTCCCGTCAGCTGAACGTTCATATAGACAAGCCCTACTTTACATGGGTAATATGGACACGTCGGTGGGAGCCTAGAGGGAATAATGTGAACATTTCACTCAATTTAATCTCCTTCTAGGTTCACTTGGCCCTGGTCTACATGACAAATTTATGTCGAATTTAACTACATCACTCAGGAGTGTGGAAAACCCATGCCCCTGAGCAATGTAGTTATGCAGACTTAGCCCCCAGTGTAGACAGAGCTATGCCAACAGGAGGGCCTCCCGTTGACATAGCTACAGCCTCTGGGGGAGATGGGGTACCTACACCAATGGGATAAGCTTTCT